TATCTCCTGCTGCCAGCTCTTGTTTCCCACGTCATCAGTTAGGTGGCCGAGGATTCGGACTCCTCAGCGCTGAGATCCCCTCATATGTCCAGTGGTCGGTGATGGAATGCACCTCTCTCCTCAGCAGATTACTTCAAAAATGGTAACATGCATAAATCAAAGCTAGCGTCTCCATCTCCGCTGACGAATATGCTCTCTTTTCACATAATTTTTACGGCTTTGCACCTTCCAAATAGTCTGTAATGAATGGTGCGATTTCCCTGCGGTAAGCATCGCTGCTTTCTTCATGTGTTCTATGACGAAACCTGGTAGACTCAAAAAGTGGAATCATTCTTCCGCCAGCTGACCGATTCTCATGTGCCCTTTTCCCGAAGACTTTGTTTCTGTCTCGTCTTTTTCCGAGCATTTGGACTACTGTCACTTATACTTCATTCACGTCGGCATTTCCTTCGGCTGGACGCTCATGGAGTTCTAAACATCATCTTGCCTTGCCTCAGTGTTCAAGCTTCCTTCGCTATGTACCGACTCAACCGTCTCATCAAATTTTGCACAGGCATTATATCAAGTCGCCTGACATAAATATGGTTTTTATCCTTTGAAATAAATACTTAATTCTCTGATATAGTCTGGACTTCGCCGTGTTCGGTTCCTTCGCCTTTCCATTTGTTTCTCATATTGTTAATTCGCTGCAATTCATGTCATGGGCTCGGCACGATGCTTGGAGCGACAATGGAAATCAATGTGATTGCATCTCTTTCTTGCTGATGGCTTCTTTTTTAATCAACACCCCTCCCCCCCCCCATAGTGGCCACCATTTGTATTATGCGTTGAATATTTTCAACTGATTCTACTATGTTTTTTTAGGTTTTTCATTTTTCTCGCTTCGCGCAACTAGTAGCACTGGCTTCTCATTTTTTCCGCCATATTGTCATGCTCACCCGACGGATTTCTCACCGACACCATACGGCAATCACGCGATTCCCAAAGCCAGCTCGCATAAAAGCAACAAGCGCCGTGACTGACTCAATTTAGATAAAGTTCCTGTGTGGTTTCTGAAGATACGTGCTTGCACGTGACGTTGGGTAACGCATAATGTTATGAATACCCCTGTAGAGACAGTGCCTGTGCTCACGAATACTGAACTTCCCGAAAAAGCGACTGTTTGGTAGTAATGTGTCTACGGGCAATAATCATACTTGCTGATATAAATTGTACACGTTGCTGAGGGCAGCTGTTGGTTAACTGTCCCACAACGCTGATCTGCAGATAACTACCACGGAGGCCATTCCCTGCCATAAACCGACAAGCAGGGGGCGGCTGCGGATGGTTGCGAAACATTGGCGCACCGACATTATATGAGCTTTTACAAAATAGATGCTTTCGTCCTAACATGGGCAGCAAACGTCACTTTGTCTCGTCACAGAACAGTGCCGGAATCCCTAATCGGCTTATTTGATATATATATATATATATATATATATATATATATATATATATATATAAATTACATATTTTATCAGACTGTTCACTGCAGTCGCTGAAATTACACCTCGGCACGCCGGAATCCCTCATCGGCTCTGAGGAGTCATAACGCAAGGCATCGGTGACGCATTTACACGCTGTGTGACACGTTGTGATAAAAATGGCCTTCCATGACACTCGTGAAAAATCCACAGTCACCCCAAGCTGTACGCAGTATATGAGCCATGCAAGAAAATTAATTTTGATATATAAACATAGATCCCATCACATCGCGTCCTCTCGCATGGCACAAAATGCGGGCCGCACGTGATTCATCAATCTGCTGTTTTTTCTAGACTGTCCACTGCAGCGCCTAGAGAAATAACAGGCGTGGTCGGCACGCCATACATGGGTGTAGGAAGAAGGGGGGGGGGGCAGGGGCCCATGCCCCCCACTTTTCAAGGTGGGGGGGGGGTCAGCAGTGTTAGCTGCCCCCCCTTCTTTTCTGATTAAGGCTGTGTTTAGCTTAGTTTTGCACCACATTTAGCATGCATGCCGATTTATTTGGCTCATCAGCCATCTTCCTCAAGATGCGTCATCCTTTTCGTTTGCTTATTGGCCATCACTTAATGTCACAACCGCACGCCGACGCCACGCGGCCCATGGAGACTGCAACGCCGGGCGTCCAGCCTACTGTTGCTATGACTTGCGAGCGCGTATGTTCAAAACCATATTATAGTTTTTATCAGTAGTATATTCTGACTGAAACTTGAACATCTTAACACGAACATATGTAAGCCATGTCAGTACCAGCTTAGGACCCCATTTCATCCACAATCCACGTTCAGATATTCCTCAATATCTCCGAAGAACACAGAACAACACGGAACTGAAGCCTGTGTGATAATTATTGGACCACCTTTGGCGATCAAGGATAGTGTTGCGTCAGGGAGATACAAACACATTGCTTCCGTCAAAGAAATCCGTCATTAATTGTGTCGTAAATTCCTACAAACTTATGTGGCAAAACAACACAACAACCTTGAAAGTGGACTTGGTGCGTTTTCCCCGCCATTATTCATGATATCACTAACGCAACTGGAATCGCAAAAGCAGCGTATTCTCAGCTAGCTCGGGGACTAATTTAAGTTGGGAGTGATGCTGGTAAATATATTTTTGGTGTCAGCACGGAGACATATATCAAAAACGTTAACGAAAAAATCAACGCCTTGGTAAGGCAGGCGGACAATTTTACACATCTTGCCTACCAGCAATTTACCCATACCAAGGAAATGGCCACGCAGGCACTTCAAAATGGAAAGTGCATTAAGGAAGGCAGTCGTGACTGGGGGTCAGAGTTCTGCTGGTCTGCCACCCGCCATCTCCCGCATCATATAAGATGTAGTCCTTAGGCTCTCTGACGACGAGGCGCCCGGGCTCTGTCAGGGAGCCCCATTTGTCCTCTGGTTTTCAGCTCAGCCCAACTCTCAATGCCAAGGAAACCATGCGACGTTTCAGACTTGTTCTGGTGTGACATCAGTGACAAAGTAGGCTAAGTGCTTGTTCTAGTTCGGCCTGATCTTAACTTATGCCAAAGTTGTTCGGTCCATCGTAATGTAGCCCAACATTTCGGTGAGGCTAAATCTATCAGATGGCTTGCCAAGTCCGTCTTGCGATTTCAAGCTAACTGACGGAAGATGGTTGATCTCCGGCTAGCTTGATTTGATTCGCCACCGAAATTGCCAGTCTACAAAGCGTAACGATTCAACTTACTCGACGCTTTAATTACCCGCGTTCTGATTTTCTATCATCCAAGTTGAGTAATGAATTGCGTGTTCCTTTTGCCTAAACTGTGTAACGGTTGAATCTGCTTTACGCCCACTTGTTACCCGAGCTGTCGAGTTGAAACCCAACTAAATTTACACCGTATCCCTTGGTTGTCAAGTATCGATGGGCTTGCAGTCTCCTTGCTTTTCAAGTTAAGTAACAATTGTTAGCAAATGCCGCTTCTTAGTTCTCCAAATTAACTAACAATCTTTCGTCACCGGCACTGATCAGTTTAATTTCTATACGGTGTTCTTTGTCATCCAATGCATTATCTAGGTTGAGGAACGACTGACTCGCCGTCCCTTTATTACCGACCCTATGAAACCAACTGTTATTAGATTCTCTGTGGAAGTGTTGACTGTGTAGACGCACGGGCTGACCACCTTCGGAATCACGGCTATCATATATTTGTTACGCCAACCCTCGGTATTGGAATCGACTCTTGTATCTGACAAGATGGGACATGCAGTCATGGCTCTTTTAGAAACAGACACCCTGTCCAATGATGGCTTATAAGCTTTGTAACCGACTGAGCCCATTGCAACTGTCAATGTGTGACTATCCGTTCCCGCCTTTAAGTGAATGAGGTGACCGTATTACTTCATTAGTGTAGCACTTATGTTAGAATATATTCTTGGAAAATTTTCGACCAAGTCTGGAACGATTTCTGGGGATAAGGGTAGGAGCACGCGGCACTTGGTAGTGCTTTCGTTCTAATAATCGTTCTTCGAAAACAATTTGAGCCCTTCCATATTTCGCCTTGTTTCAACATGTGGCGATAGTTAAGCTCCCTCGCCGTCTGGATAAAAGCTTGCATCTGATAAAATCGATGCAAGGATGAAAGATCCGAGATGAGGACGTTTCTCAGCGTTCTGAGGTTCAGTTTTTTTAATGCCCTTCAAACGGGCGAGAGTCGAGAAAAGACCGCTTGCAACAACTGCACTGACTTAAGAGTTCGGTTGATCGCCTCGGGTAAGTCCTGGAGAGAAACACTGCCACAGCGCAGGCACAGTCAGTCTCAATATATGAGCCACGACGGGGAGCTTGCTGCAGCTGTGTCAATGCCGGACAATTGCATGGCCCGGCCAGAACACACAGGGGCCGATCAAGACAGCTGTATGACGAAACTGCTGCTTGAGGAAAAGGCAGCGTGAAACGGGCCGGCCCTGCCAGTCGACGGGGGATCCAGAGGGAAGGGGGTATTCTGGATGCCGCCCGGCCCTGACGGTGACGTAGCCCTTCTTAGCTGACGGAAGCGGCGGCACTACTTTTAAAACAGCATATGTTCTTAGCCCCCTGCCCTTAATGCATCAGTTTGGCAATCAGCCGCGTCGGCGGCTGGATCTCTTCCAGTACGTCTGAGCACGGCGACACCAACGCAGGCCAATCAAAGCATTGCCATCTATCGAGAAAGATGTGATACTAAACTTACATAAACGTCCACAAAGTTCGACTGACCCTCTGTGTGTACTAGCGTCCCTGGTGGCTTTATTTTACTCTAAAAATATTGCAATAAATTGATGAGACATCTATGCCTAAAAATTGGCTAAATACTACGAATGAGATTTAAATGTTATCTCTTATTTTATTGAGAAAAAACAAAGACTAAGCACCAAAGATATCTGCAACTGTTTTTTCTGGTCATATTCATCTTTCATTAGGCCTCCTCGCCCACCGCTCCTAAAGGGTACTGCGTCACACTAGTTTAGAAAACATGGCTTCTGCTACGGAGTTTAGTTCCGGCAAAACAGTGCTTATTCTCTCATTGGTGATTGGTTGTTTTGCAATACTATGGCCAAGAATATTTTATCCAATGCTTCAGGCATCGATCTCATCTGCCACTGATGCACCATACTCGGAAGGTTAGAGCCAGACCACGGAAATGTGTTTCGATGACAAATGTGGCGTGCCGCGGCAAAGCTCAGTATGACAATTTTAGGGAATATCTAACGTATTCGTTATGATGTGAATGATGTGAGTGCCGGCATCTGTCTTAACTTAGCCAAAACATTAGGTCGCATATATTTATAGTTGTTCTCACTCATCATTTGCACTGTTGGTGTGCATGCATCAAAATATCGGTCTACCCTGACATCAATGAAACATGAAAGTCCTATGCATTACAATTTACCACCATGTGCCCTTAAATTACTTGGTCATCATACCTTATAAAGTCAAATGTAACTATAATCATGAAATTACTTTTCCCTCTAGGTCACACCAATTAAGTGCCATTGAATGGAATCTCAGGACAACTAGTTGTAGAGGATACAGTATTTGCCACTCATATCCTGGCATTGTTAGGTGCTGTTTTTTTGGACTGAAGGCCTTCAACATTCACAGGGGGCCTCAAAGACAGCAGCCAGCACAGTAACAACAGCTTTGCCATTTTTGCCAGCTGGAACAAAGCCTGCTTGCAAGAGGATTACCTATTTAGGATAATTTTGTGCTTTTCCAAAGATTGTTGCTGAATGACAAAATTAGTACCAGTTTGTGGCTAACATTATATGCTGTTGCACCACAATTGCCAACATCACATGCCAGTCACCCAGCACCTTGAGATTCCTGATTTTTCAGCTGATGGCTGCAAGTCATGTCGGGCATGTGATGAGTTGGGCTGCGTGGGCACCAGTTTCAGGTGTATACCACTCCAGCATTCTGCCCTGTTGCCACCCGGTGGCCTTCACCAAGGAGCTGAATGCACTCTACTTCATGGAGCTATGCAACCGGCTCAAATGGCGAGCCGGCCGGCGACAGGCCGACCTCCTCCTGCCGCCGGAGCCGCGTCCCGACATCTGGACGCCGGGCCTGGCGCGCTGGTGTCGGGACGAGCTGGCGCGCACCTGCGGCACGTTGCTGGACGAGCCAGCGCTCGAGCGCTACCGGCGCGCGGCGCATCGCCGCGACGACGGCGATGCGGCCACGGCCAACCTGACTCGCTGCCTGGAGACGAGCTACGATTTGCGGCGCGAGGAAATCCGACCGACGCGGCTGCAGCAGCAGGCGGGCACCAGTGAGCGGCAGGGGGCTGGGGAGCGCGGCCGGTGCGCGGCCGCCGGCGGCGACCACTAACCGCATGAAAGAGGCGCTCCGGGACGCGCTCGAGCTGGCTATCGGAAGGAGACAGGAGTGGACGGAATTACCGGCGACTGCACGCTCCTGGGACGTCAAGGGCCCATGTGGCTTGGTGGGATGGCTGTCGTCTCGCAACTAATGGAACGCGCTGACAAGAATGCTACCAGAATAATACAGGACAGCCAGTTTTCAACCAGGCTGGATGGCTGGTGTGTGAGACTAATCAAGGCACTACTCATGAATGTGTAGTGCTTGGATGATTGCTATTAGCATAGTTTGTTGGACTTCCTAGCGTGTTGATTGCGAAGCTTGCAGTGACCGGTATAACTGGTCGGTGTGCTTGTTTCGATTTACAACTGTTAACTGGACATGTGCCTATTGCCGCCGATTTCAGCAATGCATTATTTGTGCGCAGTTTTGTCGTTGCCGTGCGTAATTTGGCTACGCTGGGCCACCGTATGGCACGTCCTTTCTACTTTTGTGAGAGATCCAGGCGTCGCTCGCCAAAGCCCGCAGCGGACGGTCAGTTTCGCCTGCCGCGCCCTGAGCCTTCCCCGCCACCTCCCGTGCCACGTGGTGGTCGCGCCGTCCGTCGACCCGCCGGCCCGCTGACGCCGCGCCAACGCCCGGCAGAGTACCCGCAGCAGGAGCGGCCGGCCGGCGGCCACCCGAGCCTGCGTGACCCGCCGCACGCGGCAGCCGCCGCCGCCCACAGCCAGACGCAGCACATGGCCCGCCAGCCGCGCCGCCCCGTCGACAGGATGGCCAGGGTCAGTGGACGCCGGCGATGGTGCGGGCGGAGCGGCCGCGCCTGGTCCGGTGTCGTGGGGTCTGCGCGCGCCGCGACCACGCCATGCGGTCTGTCTACGGGGCCAGTTGGTTCACACGATACACCTGTGGAGCGGGAGCTGACTCAGTGGCAGCGTTTTGTGCGCGATGGCGGAAGTTGAGATGTAGCGGGATGGGGGGGGGGGGGGGGGGACTTACGACAATATGTGCCATTTACGTGCTACGTCGACTGAACTTTTGTATTCTAAGTGGTTATGTCCAAGGTGGCTGGGTGTTCCGTTCCTCCATGCTGGCCTCTGACGAGCCTGCAGGACCTCAGACCTGTCGTTTGCCTGTGCAATCTTGTTCATTGTTACGTGCATGATACCAGCAAAAAGTCACATTTAGGCTTTGAACACCCTCAGACGGCGTCTCCTGCGGCGGTCTGATACCACCGTTCCGCCCGCCGGCGCCTGCGCTACCGCGGTCCCCCCGTCGCCAACCCTCTGATACCGAGCGCCCTCCTCCGCAGCCCCCGGGACCCCAGCCGGGCATGCGGCCCGGCGGCGGCTACGGCGGCTTCATCCAGCCGCAGACCAAGGGCAGCGGTGCCATGGGCATCATCATGCCCATCTACACCGTCGGCATCGTCGTATTCTTCCTCTACACCATCATGCGGGTGAGCCGAGGCGCGGTCGGGCGATGGTGGCCCAGCTCGGTGGTTACGGCGTCGCGCCCCCATGGGCCAGCCCGTCGTCGCGTTCGTGTCGCCTGCGTCGGCACGGGACAGTCCTCGAACGGAGTGGCTGGGCTTATGACTGCTTGCGTTGCGAGTCGTCGCAGAAAGCGATGACTAGTGCTGGCTACCTGTCGGGGAAGATTCACCATGCCGTTGGCAACTTTTGATCGCTGTTCGGTTAAAAGGGCGAGAAGGTTATTTGTCAGGGATATTCGCACCAAATGAATTGCTAGAATGCTGGCGAGCACAGTGCCCAGTGGCGTGTCCACTGGGGAACAATGCAGATGACACACGGATTCGACCTCGCGATCTTGACGCTGCCCCGGCATGCGCCAGGACGGATCAGATCATTGAACCGTCTGGTCACACGCGCCACAAATTAGCTTAATGCTCGACATTGCATCGGCCGACGCGTCCGGACGATGCAACAAGGCTTCCCTGGACATAGCCTCCGCGTCCAGTTCCGAGCGGGCCGCTTCCTGCGGATGCCCAGCTGTGGTGACAGCTTGACGGCTCGGATACACGCCTGTGTGCCGGTGTGTCGGCACCGATAAGACGTCACCTTGGCATGCCGCCGACGCCGGAGGGGCGGGCCGCACGCCAGCACAGGGCGGCAGAACCGGGGATGACTTTAATTATGCCTAGGGTGGTTGCAAACGGTCTGCTTTGTCGAAATGTAAGATAGACAGAAGTAGCTGACGCGGAAGAAGAGCACTACTTACAGTTAAGTGTGCGCGATGCCTGACTCCGTGTTGTGGTGTGGCCGTCATCCATTCCGTGGCCGTGGACGATAGCTGTAACGGAAGTCGGCACGGAGTAATAATCACAAGGGGCGTCAGATTAAGGTGCAGCACATTTAGTGTTGTACCTTGCAAATAATGGCCTTATCAGTCGACGGGAGCAGCGGAGTAGTGACCGGAATGTCTGTTTTCCATCACTGGTGGCGTGCTCACCAGCTGCGCACACATCAGTTCCAGATTAAAATGGACGTGTGGCACCCGAGAACACAACAGACCCTCTCCGATCGTCCCAAAATAGCACAAACGAGGCTCGAAATACTGGTACCGGTCACAGACCCGTCAGCGGCTCGACGCGCTGCTGGTTTCTATCCGCGCCGGTGCGCGTGATCCAAAGCGGGCGCCGCTGGCCGCGGTCTGCTGTTGCGAGTGACGTCACTGACCGCCCCACGACGACCGCTGTGCCGCGGTCAGCCGGCCTCGCTCGGCCACCGCCGGCAGCCTGGGATCGGACTGCGAGTGGTGCCCGGCTCCGGCAGCGCACAGGCGCGGGGTGACCGGGGTTCCAGGCGACCGGGGCGCGGCCGAGGCGTGCCCCGGCGCCGCGGCCCTGACTCACCGCTGGCCGTGTCTCCGGCCGGCGTCACGTGACAGCCGGCGGCGCACGACCCGGCCGTCACGTGACCGGCCGGCGCTGGTATTTCGAGCGCTGGCCGTGAGCCAGACGTCGCCGGCCTGCCGGTCACGGCCGCCGTCCGGCGACGCGCCGATCAACACATGCCGCCACGGCTCGTGGCGAGGGGCGCGTGCCGACGCGACCGCCCCGCGGCCGGCCGCTGGTCGCTGATGTGGGGCCGACGACGGACGCGCCGGCAGCGACGACACGCGTCGGACGTGTGTGGCGAAGCGGGTCTGTCGTCTGGTCTGACGCGCGGCTGACGGCGGACGATAAGCCGTGACCGCGAGCGGAGCGGGCTGCCACGCTCCGCGGCCACACGTGAACCGACAGACGACGAGCCGTGGGTGGGTTCGCAGCCGGGCCACCGTGTGCGCGCCGCCCGCCGCTGCGGTGACGCGAGAGCGTGCTGGCGTCTGTGAACAGCCGGCGGCGGCGAACACGACCTCCGACCTTCACCTTCCCCGCCGCCGCCGCCAGTGGGGAGGGGGGGGGGGGGGGCAGGGGGATGGGCAGCCGCCCGCGGCGTCGCGCTATTTCCACCGGGCCAGCTGGAGACCAGCTCGACAGCCGGCCGGCGGTGAATCGCGCCGGTGTCCGCCCCCGCGCCGTAGGCCGCCGCCGGCACGGGATGTGGGCTGGATTCCACGCGCGGTACTCCTCAGCACGAAGCAATGCCATGTCTGTAATACGCCGAGACATGTAGTGAAAGCAACGGCATTTCGATGCTGTCATGCCAGGGCTGGTGTGGCACCAAATGCGTTTAAAGAGCACCACCAGCACCACCTGTCGGAAACGATGAAAAAAGTCAGCATGAAGCGCTTCAGCGCGATACACTTGGTCATTCAGCCCCTGCATACATAGTTTTATACTCAGGTTGTTTGGCAACACCCCAAGCATATCAGACAAACAAACTGACGGGCGGTGAGCTGGGTTTCCTGCCATGTGGCTAGATATCTTTGCGTTCCATACGCTGACCTAGTTGCGTTCTCTGATGTGATACTGATCATCGTCGACCCGGCTTCGCTTTCGTTCCAGAGCTTGGCACGGCGTGATTGGTTGTGTGACATGTTTGTTTACCGCTCTGCATAACATATTGTAGGGCGCTTCATGCGCTTGCAACCTCTTATTGATGCATATCATTCTGCTAATGTCTTACCGTACGTTACATCAGTCGCGTGTGCCTGTATGTCTTCGCTGACGCCGCGCTGCCGCCGGTGTCGCGGCAGGTGATGTTCAAGAAGCAGCCGGAGAAGGAGAGCCGTTCTGCCCGCGACGTCGGGCCGCCGCCCGTCTACGGCGGCTATCGCCTGCAGGCGGAGGCGGCCGACGAGCGGGCGCCGGCACGGCCGCAGCGGGCCGTCGAGCGGCGCACAGCCGCCCCCGTGGCGACGGCCGCGCCGGCCAGACCGGCGCCCGCAGGTCAGGCACGCACTGCAGCCGCCGCCCGTCCGCTGGGCCCGGTCGAAGGAGCACGCCAGCGGGCTGGCCGAGCTGTGGCCGGGCCGCGCTCGAGGAGCGAGCGACTGGGGGGCATGTGGGATCGTCGAGTGTAGCTGGGCTGTTTCGTTTTACTGTTGATGAGCGCGATAGGTCATTCTCATGTCATGCTGGGGCTTCCCTGGATCGCTCCTGTCATGTATATGCGTCCCTGTCCTCACGGCACGTGCGTTGGTGAACTACACCAGCACACTAACGGGCATATGCGATAAAATGTAGAATATGCATCTCTGTACTCATGTTACTGCCAGCCTTGTGCAAATGTTCGCTGACCGTCGAAGCTGCTGTGGGGGCCGTGATAATCTCACGTACGCCTTTAAATGATTGCCGCATTTTGCCACACGCGATGGCCAGAAAAAAAGCTGGTTCATCTCCATCTCCATCCAGCTGGTGCGGTGGCAGGTCAAAGCTGTGGCCCGGGCCAATGCGAAGGGTCACGTAATCTTCTGAGCAAGCCGCTATATGTCGGTCCCGCAGCTGCCTGGTTCCGTCCCGATGGGCGGCGACCCGTCTCCCCCGCCGCCTGACCGTTGTGTGTCGGTCCCGCTCCACCCCTGGTTCCGTCCCGGCGCGCTGTGAACCGTCTCCCCCGCCCCCTGACCATGGTGTGTCGGTCCCGCCCCGCCCCTGGTTCCGTCCCGGTGCGCTGTGAGCCGTCTCCCCCGCCGCCTGACCGTTGTGTGTCGGTCCCGCTCCACCCTTGGTTCCGTCCCGGTGCGCTGCGAGCCGTCCTCCCCGTCGCCTGACCGTGGTCGTCCCGCCCCGCCCCTGGTTCCGGCCCGACGGCGGTGACGTTCCCCTCCCCCGCTGCCGCCTAACCGTGGCGTGTCGGCCCCGCCCCGCCCCTGGTTCCGCCCCGACGACGGTGACGTCCATCCCCCCCCCCCCATCCCGCCGCCTGACCGTGGCGTGTCGGCCCCGCCCCGCCCCTGGTTCCGCCCCGACGACGGTGACGTCCATCCCCCCCCCTCCCGCCACCTAACCGTGGCGTGTCGGCCCCGCCCCGCCCCTGGTTCCGCCCGGACGGCGGTGACGTTCTCCTCCCCCGCTGCCGCCTAACCGTATTGTGTCGGTCCCGCAGTCGCCGCCGCCAAGGAGGTGGCCGTGGAGAGCAGACCGGAGCAGGCCATCCCGCTGCCGCCAGGTGAGCTCACCTGGTCTGGTACGGCGGGCCGCGCCGGCCGGCAGCGGCGACAGCCCGGCCATCGCTCGACTCAGCCCCGCGGCCGCCGGGGAAATGGGGCACCGCGGCAATCAGCGTACCTTCTTTTGGAGCAGCACGCACCATGGCTTTGTTTTTTTTGTTGGGTGTCACGAGCGATGCACAAGTTTTGGTACTTTTCAGTTCTTGCGCCGCGAATACAAATAAGAACGTTGGAGCTGAGAAAGAGAAACGACAACAAACGAAATGGTTTCAGCCACTCGCATTCGAAGTTGGCCAGCAGTTATTGCTCGACTTATTTCAAGAGTACTGTAATGTTCCGCTTTGGTAATTAACTTCTACCGAACCGATGTCCCATTTTGTCTTACATGCAATCTTTTTATTTTAGCTATGCGTGATACTGTCCCTGTATTCAGGCTCTGCATATATGAACAGCCATGACATCATTGTATTATGCAGTTTTCTCACCGTGCTGCACGCTGCATACAGCCAAACATCGCTTGGGATATACCGTGAGGTTCCGTTACAGTTCGCTGAGCGTGACAAATGCCCATGCGAAAGGTCTGCGTGGGGTGGTTCCGTGGTCACATGCTTTCAAATGCTTGCGAGAAGCTGGTGATCGAGATAACTAATGTCTTCATGATTTCCTCGTTTCGCTGCCCCTCAAACAAAGGCGAAAATCATGACAAGAAGGAAGTTAAACAAAGTGAGTAGTCAGTGTGATCCGAGTGATTGAGATGCCCCGTAGATGGGTGAGATCAGCAAATACTTTTGCAAGTAAGAAACCCCCATGATATGTTTGTGTGTTATGCGTCGAGCGCTTTTCGGTCTTACGTTATTTCGGTACGTCCCGTCTGCGTGGAGACAGCATAAGTTAAGTATGCATTGAGGTTCCAGCGGTTTGCAAATACACAGTCCATTAGACATCCAACGTCTGGGAAAGGCAGTGGCATGCTCGCTGCTCTTATTGGGATAAAATGTCCAGACGCGAATCACTGTACGTGTAGCCACTTGTGAACTGCAGGTTCACCCCGCTCATTGGCTTCGTAAGCTAATGCCGGTGGGAGGGTACTGAGACTCTATTATCACCGGCTGACATTCGGAGGAGTCTGGGCCGGACCCGCGCCAGTGCAGCCCCTGCAGAGGAGGGAGACACACGGACCTTCCTTCCCCCGGCGCGCAGGTAACAGATATTAGCTATTGCCTTCTGCTGTCCCGGCGGCGAGGACCGATAACGGCCATCACTCCCCCCCCCCCCCCTAGCGGGGATGCCGAGATTGACCCTCGCTCTCTGCCCGGCAGAGGAGGCTGAAACTGATCCTGACTTCCCCCCGTAGAGGAGGCTGAGATTGATCCTCTCCCCGGCAGAGGAGGCTGAGACTGACCCTCCCTTCCCCCGGCAGAGGAGGCTGAGACTGACCCTCCCTTCCCCCGGCAGAGGAGGCTGAGACTGATCCTCCCTTCCCCCGGCAGAGGAGGCTGAGACTGACCCTGACTTCCCCGGCAGAGTAGGCTGAGACTGACCCTCCCTTCCCCCGGCAGAGGAGGCTGAGACTGACCCTGACTTCCCCCGCCATAGGAGGCTGAGATTGATCCTCCCTTCCCCCGGCAGAGGAGGCTGAGATTGATCATCTCCCCGACAGAGGAGGCTGAGACTGATCCTCCCTTCCCCCGGCAGAGGAGGCTGAGATTGACCCTCGCTCTCTGCCCGGCAGAGGAGGCTGAGATTGATCCTCCCCCCGACAGAGGAGGCTGAGACTGACCCTCCCTTCCCCCGGCAGAGGAAGCTGAGATTGATCCTCCCTTCCCCCGGCAGAGGAGGCTGAGATTGATCCTCCCTTCCCCCGGCGAAGGAAGCTGAGATTGACCCTCGCTCTCTGCCCGGCAGAGGAGGCTGAGATTGATCCTCCCCCCGACAGAGGAGGCTGAAACTGACCCTGACTTCCCCCGCCATAGGAGGCTGGGACTGACCCTCCCTTCCCCCAGCAGAGGAGGCTGAGATTGACCAGCTGCGCCGCCGACTGGAGGACACGGAGCGCGCCATGGAGCGCATCATGAAACAGATGAGCACCGTCTCACAGAAGCTGAACGCCGCCAAGATCAGCTCCAACATCCGAGCACTGAAGCAGGTGAGTGACACTGGGAGACTGAGTTCCAAGTGGACCTGAGTTCTGAGGCAGGCCTGGACTTTCTTGCTCGGACTGACGACATATCACCCAGCGGACGGCAGTCACGACTTGTGTCCCGTAAAAGGACACAAGCCAGCCGGCCGCCACACTGGCCATAATGCTGCTAGTGAGAGATAAGGCCTGACGCCAGAGTCGATCTTGCCGAGTTTTTGTTCTGTCGGGATTGGTGTTTGTGCAGGAGTCGTCTTTGCACCGTTAATCATTACTGGTGGAGCTCTGCCACTGGTATGGACGCATGGATCACGCAAAGCCAGTTATATTGTTGTAGTTTACTCTGGGCTTTGGTGCTTTTGTGTAAAGATAAGCACATGCCCTTTCACTTTTGGCGTCCCTTACGGCTCACTGGTGGTTTTGAATGATGCTGTGTTTACCCGTTTGCTGCCTAAGGAGAGCGATCCAGACGCCAAGGTAAGGCTTGGTCTGTGCTGGGCCACCCCGATCCAACGTTGGCTGGCATCCTAGCACAGACGACCACTAGTGGTGTATGCACATTTTCTTTCGTCTGCGGCCATCTGCTGCCAAGTAATCTTGTCTAAAATGGGAAGCATCTGAATCACTGCAACGCACCGAGAGTTAGATCACGGTAGAGCGCGCGGCGAGCGAGTGCCGCGACCTGTTCTGACCCGCGCCGGGCGCCTCTTTACAAGCGTGCGATGGACGACGAGCCGGCTGTCGACGGCGACCGGGAGGTGAGCCCCGCGCGCCCCGCCCTCCCGACCAACAACGCACACCATGTCAGGGGTCACCCGGTGCTGTCGGCCGGCGGCAGCGGGTCATGCAGCGACGTGTTCCCCTCCCCCCTCCCACCGCCCCGTCTGAGCACACGTGGCTCGAACTCGGAGAGCACGGGTGAGGTAGATGGCGCCGCCCTGAAGACCGTTGCCTAACTGTCAGCCTCCGCAGTGCGTGACGCTGCGCGGACATCGCCTGCGTCGCTGCGGCCGACGCTGGCGGCGTCGGCGTCGCGCCACGCCCCGTAACCTCCGCCCCCGTCCGCCGGCAGGAGCTGTGGGGTTCGGCCGACTCACTGGCGTCGGAGAGTCTCGCCACGGACTACTCGCTTTCGCTGGACTCGCGCGGCCAGGTACTGCCCGACCCGTCACTCTACACGTACAGCCTAGACACGGGCTACACAGCGTCGGCGCCGCCCACTCGCGACGAGACGGGCTCAGTAGCGACGGCCTTCAGTCGGCTGGCGCGCTCCGTCAGCCAGCTCAGCCTCGAACTGGAGACGGCGCCCGGCGACGACGACGCCTCGCTACCGGCCGAGACGGGCGCCGAGCTGTCCGAGCTGGCCGACGGCGAGGAGGCGGCCGACCTGCTGGACGGCGTCGACGAGCTCCGCCACGACGGCCCGAATGCGGTACGTCGGTTCGCCAGCCTGGAGGCACTGCGCGGCCGGGTGGCCGAGGCGACGCGCGAGACGGCGCCGCCCGACCGCGAGGTGCCGCCACGCGACAGCGCCGCGGACGGGGAGGCGGAGCCGCAGCCGGCCTGGGAAGGCGAGCAGGGGCCGGGCGCCAGTCCCACCGGCGCCTCTGCCGTCTCCTCCGGGCCCGCTGGCGGCGCCGACTCGCCCGGACCGCGGCCTGCGGCGAATCTGTCTGGGGATACGCCCGCGGGGACCGGCGCGTCGGCAGGTATTGCCGCGCCGTCCGGCCACGCTGACGCTCGCTCTGGCTCCTCTGACCCCCGCTCTGGCCCCTCTGACCTCCGCTCTGGCCCCGCTGACCCTCGCTCTGGCCCCTCTGACCCCCGCTCCTCCAGCGGTCGTTCGGCCGTCTCGCCCTCGTCCGACTCGTTCTCCACCCCGCGCGTTATCGTGCTCGGCCTGCGCACCAAGCACACGCCGGAGCGCGAGCCGCGCTCGGTGTCGTTCCGGCTGGGGGGCGACGCGGGCCAGGTGCTGGCCTCGTGCCGGCTGGACGCCGCCGGGCTGCCGCCCCAGTCGGCGGTCATGATCCGCGAGACGGAGACACGCGCCGGCCGTGACGGCGCCGCAGACCGGGCCGCCCTGCAGACCAAGCTGGAGCTGGAGATCGCCGGCATGGAGGCGACGGCGCCGCCGCCGCGCACCGCCTGGACGGCCCGTCTGCAGGCCGCCGTGAGCGCCGACCGGCTGAGCGAGCTGCGAGCCGTTGCCGAAGCCGGCGCCGGAGCTGGCGGCAGCGCTCGCTGCTGATCTAACGCCGACGCTGGCTGCGAGTCTAACGCCGACACTGGCTGCGAACCTAACGCCGACACTGGCTCAGAGTCTAACGCCGACGCTGGCTGCAAATCTAACGCCGACACTGGCTCCGGGTCGTACCCGACGCTGGCTCCGAGTCTTGCACCGAGATTGCCGTGTGACATCGGGTGGGGGCTTGGCGCTGACGCCAACACTGACGCAGTGGCACCGGCTGTGTTTGGTGGCGGGCGCTGGCTGCGGTTGTGATGACGTTGCTGTCTGCACGGCCTCTGCTGTTCCCTGAGTGTTCTGGTAACTCGCCATCAGCCTGAGGACAGTGCGCCCACCCCCGCCGAAGGATTTTGACTGCCCGGCCCATGTTGAGTCGTGGTCTGGCTCTTGCCACTGCTTGCTATCTCTATGTCTAACGCCATGAACTAGTCCTTCCGGTTCATTCCAGTAATACCATGACCTGCCATATATGTCACATTTTATTGACACTGTCTTGCTTGCACAATGACATTTGGGTTGCATTTTGTGAACTGAAGCAACCTAAATTGTCTTCCGACGTGGGGTTGAATGTGGCTGGTCTTGCTACTAATGCGCGTCTTGCACCAAATATGCAACGCTTTTTTTTGGAAAGTCCTTGCGATCTTGATATCAAAACAAACGCATGTGCGGAGCAAAATGTTCCATTTGATTCATGCTATCATGCTAGTTGAAGCTTAAGTTGTACAGTTTTATAGCTGACAAGCTGAATGAACTTTTACCTATTGTTCTCAGAAACCCGGTTGTATGAACTCCTTAGTGTTATTCTCGAAAACCGTACCCCGAAGAGTACGTCAGTTTGTTGACAACCATTTAAGGTCGCTAATGTTGCAGTTGTAACGGGTTGTATACAGCAGCTGCAGTTGGTGATTATTCTCACCGCCGTGTTCTGATTCGAGCTCGCCGCTGTTTCAGACGGAGACGTCGCTGGCTTCAATTGAGGATGATCTGAGAAGGGCATCACTGGGTGAGTGATACCATGGTGTGACGGGCAGCCTGTGTGACACTGCCACTTGTCGGACGCGGCGAGACGCGGTACCTTTTGCACCATTCGGGTCTGCATTGCGATTCAGAATGCACGCGCTTCACGCACCGTAATAAACTCAGTATATCCAATCTCCAACTTATGTGACCCACCATCTTAGACGAGCAGCAGATGAACCGGATGATGTTCTGCCGTCCAGATGTGCTATTTCCATGATCGCATTCCTTTACTTGCAGCCTTGAAGAACGCCAATACTAGGGCGGCAGGAGGCTCAAATGGAAAGGACATACCTGAGGTAACGGTGCCGTGTTATGGACGGCGCAACCTGTGTTTCTAATCAGTTCTGTCTCTCCTTTTCAAAATTTAGTTGATCCTATCGCTCTATCCAGTGAGGTCCATTATGCGACTTGTCGGGCGTGTTATTTCACTTTTGTCTTTGGGGTTGGCTTATGCACGACAATCGTCCTTTAACCCACACCGACATCGTTATCTGCGCGTCAAGCCACAACATCTCATACATCCGTGGAGAGAGTACAGGTCATGTATCTCCGTTATGTGTTGGTGTGTGGGGTTGTGTTTATTTATAATCCGCGATGTATTCGTTAGTTCTGACGAGCCGAGCGTTTGCTTTTGCGTCAGTCCGGCGCGATGGGAAGGGGAGGCGCCGCAGTGGTTTTCGGTGCCTGGCGCCGTGTTGTGATGTTTGCCAGTCTGTAACCACGGCCCGGGTGCTATTTTGCGCTACCCACGGCACTCTGGCGTAGGTGGTGTCTCACTGGAGTGCATTTGATTCGTGGATCAGGGTTCTCGAAAAAGTACATGTTATGTGCTACACGATAGAATGGACGACACCAACACAGAAGACAGCGAAGACGGATGCCGCCACAGCTGAGACTCGGCCCGTGCCGTGACCTGCCCCTCCGGTGGTCGACAGGTCCCTCCGCCGCGGGAGAACGCTCCTGCCGACGGCGCCGCCGTTCAGCGGATACAAGAGCTGCCGCAGTCGTGAAGCAGCGCCACCCTCGGCGCGGCGGCCAGCGGCGCGCCAGGCCGGCCCGCTCGCTGGCGTCGCATACCCCCAGCCGGGTGCCCTGCTCTGCGGCCGCCGAGCGCGCGCCAGGCCGGGCGCGGCGGCTGAGCTCCGGTCGGGCCGCGGTGGTCGTGCTCAGCCCGGACGTAGCGGCGCGGCCCCGCTGAGAGGGCCGCGCGTAGCGGTAGCGTCCCTCCCCGTAGTGCCCACACTCCCGCGACGCTCCCACCTCAGTGCGACGGAGCGCTCGCGCCTCGTCGCGCTTCTCCGGGTAGTCGGCGCCGCCGTAGCAGGCGCGCGCGGTGACCCCCCTACCCCTAGCGCTAGCCAACCGTGCCACTCACCGTCGGCCGGCCTTAGCTACGCCCCCGTAGCCGTAGATCTCATCGCCATTCTAGTCGAACCCGCGCCCTTTCATGCGCGTTTCGCTCTCATGCTCGCTCGTCAATCGCGAGTTGGATTGTTGGCCGCCTGGCGGCGCAGTCATCGCCCCCTATCGGTTGGGTTTATGTGTGCATCTGGAACGGGTTTTGTTGTGTTCTGGCGTTACCCAGGAAACCATGGCGCGGAAGCAGAGGCAGATGATCCAAATTCGCGTAACTCAGGCGGTGCGTAAGCTGGATCAAAAGTCGAGCGGCGTTCCCAAATAACGGAACACGAGCGCGCGTCGCGTCCCAACGACACGTGCATCCGCTGAAGTTGAGAACTCGGCAACTTTTGCGTCGGCCTGCACACCCTTGGCGTACGCGCGCTGGAATTCGCGCCGTCCAAGCACTTAATAGCTGCCGACGCACATCACCGGCGGGACGTGACCAGGCGTCAGCCGTGTCTGGGTCGGAAGGCTGCGTTGCCGGCGCGCTGTGGCACGTCCCGTCAGTACTGACGCCTGCGACAGCGCCGTCGGCGCGCGGTCGACTAGTCAAGCGTGCAATACAATCTTCAAATGGGTGTGAATGTTTGCTGGCGACGGTGCATGAGTGGAGCGGTGTCACACGGACGGCCGGTTCGCCGGGCATCGAACCAGCCGCGCTGAACAGGCCGCCCAAATGTCCCGCGAATCGATGCGTAACAGGTACCGGGCACGTACTACTGGTGGTAGTGACTAGGCAGAGCCCAAGTGCCCCGCGAATCGGTACGTAACAGGTACCGGGCACGCACTACTGGTACGTACAGGTACTGGGCACGGACTTCTGGTGGTAGTGACTAGGCAAAACTGATTCAGCTGTTTTCTCGCATTCATTTAGAGCCTTCACCCAGCATTTTGTAATGTGCAGGCGTGTATACAGTACACGGATGTCATCGGCCTCGTACTCGGCGGGATGGTTTGGGTCGGAAGGCTGAAACCCTGCTCGTAGAATCACTGGGGCAGCTAAACTCAATGTTTTGTTTCTTTTATCGGCGAACCTATTGGCGATGAATAAAACATGCGATCCTCAGCAGGGGAATGCCTCGCGCGGAGCACTCCGTTGTTCCCAGGGCCGTAAGGCGCAGCTAAGTGCACCAAATAGACTCCGCACGCGCTCGGAGAAGGGGTAAGGACATTCCCGCGGAATATACACGAGCTTGCAAGCTCATCTCCTCCGTGCCTCCTCACTGTGGCGCCAGACAGACGAGGCGCCCTTGGCACGGCCGAGAATGCCATGCTGTGGCACACTGAGCCGACGATATGCTGGAGGAGGACGCGCCTGCACAGTCGCGCGCCCGTCGAGGCGTCGCGTCCGCGGTCACGCCACTCCGAGATGCCAACGAGGCGTGGCGGGTCGCGAGCCGGCGAGCAGAGCCAGCCGGCAGCCCCACGACCGTCAGAGAAGACGGCCGCGCCTGGGGTGGAGCCACGGGCCGGACCGGGCGGGTAAACCAGCACTAGCACTAGTCGTCCTCACGGTATCGGCCAGAGCAGTGAAACACCGGCCCCAACGCACCAGGACACCCGACGGTCCCGGCTTCACAGGGTCCGTCCGTCGCGGCTCAGCCGCCACCATGCGCCGCTCGGCGGCCGTCACAGCCGACAGCTGACGTCGGGCAGTGTCAGTAGTTGCCGCACCTGCGTGCCAGCATGGCGCGGGTGGCTTCGGAGAGCTCCGGCGACTGGAGCGTGGAGCTCGCGTCACCCCACGGGGCCATGTCGCGCGTCAGCAGGTCACGCGAGTAACACGACAGCTCAGGGGAGGGCGTGGCCGGCTTGGCCCGGCCCATGTGCAGCATGGCGCGGGTGGTCTCGGACAGCTTGGGCGACTCGAGGGTACCGCTCGCTCCCCACGGGACCCTCTTGCGCGTCGGCTCGGCGGGCGGCTCCGACCCCGCTGGTCGCGTCAGCAAGCTTCGCGTGTAAGATGACAGCTCCGGAGAAGGCGTGGGGGGCTTCTGGGGCGCCGCGGCCGGGGCGGCGGCCGGTGCCGTCTCCTCGGGTGTCGCCTCCAGCAGTGGCCGGTTCTCCTTGGCCGGCGGCACGCGCGGTAGCGTCGAACGTCGCTTCACCCAGAGGCCGGGGGTCACCTCCAGCGCATCGTTGCCCGGCGGCGGCGGCAGGCCGCGCGGCGCCGGCGACGGCCGACCCAGGGGCGGAAGCGCGATCCGACCGAAGTTGAGCAGCGCCGTGGCGTCACCCGTGTCGTCCTCGGTGGCGCCCAGCTGGCCGACTGGCGTCAGCAGCGCGCGCTCGCGCGGAGTGGGCGCCGGCGCCGGCGCGCGCCACACCGGCTCGCGGGCGGCGACCGGCGCTGGCCGGCGACCGGTGCTCAGCTGCGGCCGCTGTCGTTCGACCGCCGGCGTCTTGACCCGGCCTGTGCCGCGCAGCATCTGCACGGTCATCTCACTCAGCTGGACGTCCTCGGGCGTGTCGAGCGTGAGCATCGGCGGCGGCCGCGCCACGCTCCCGCCCGGCTCCTTCGGCCCCTCCCGCTCCGCCGCCTCCTCAGGTTTCTCCGGCTCCGGCGCCTCCTCCTCCGGCGGCGGAGGCGGCGGCGGCGGCTCATACCCGTACTGCGCCAGATAGGCCGTCATTGCGTCGAGATCGCCGCGCCGCTCTTCGGTGAAGGCAGTGGCGGCCGAGACGAGGCCGTGCAGGGCGGTGCCGTCCGCCTGCTCCGTATTGAGGGCCGCCTCGGCGCGCCGGCGCAGCTCGTCGATCTCAGCGCGCATGGCTAGCACCGTCGGCTCCGCGTCATGCTGCACGAACGCCACCAGGTCGCGCCGGCCGCGGCGCAGGGTTGCCATCTCGTGGTCCACGCGACGCGCCACCGCCCGCAGCTCGTCGAAGACGGACAGCGCTGCCTCGCCCCTGCCAGGCAGAAGGGTGTAAATCCAATCCAAGAGTGGGGATCAGTGCTAAGTTGGGGGGGGGGGGGGGGGGGGGGGCGCCACCATTACCGCAACGCTCTTATGATGCTCTTTTTGGGGGAAGGGGATGCTCCAACTGCCTGGTCACATTGCCTTCCCAATTTCAGCCTACTATGTTAGGGTGACGTGAATTGCATTGTGTTAAAACAGTGCCTTCCATGCTCTGGTCCCATTCCATTTTCCATTGCTATGTGACAACAAACCATTGCAAGCCCAAAATTACATCTACATCACACACAAAGTAGCTGAGCTACAAGCTAGCTGAAAGCAATTTAAAATAACACTTGGTTGCTAGTCAATTTCAAGCCAGTGAAGTGCATTGCATTTCTATCTGGCTCAGTAGTGCACATAATGGTATTAGTTCAGCAATTGTACAGAACATAATGCTTTATATCCAGTAATGACCAATGGGCATGAACACAGCACATCACTAATGAGATCATGGAGCAGATTCCAACCACTGATGCCAACTGGGGTTATGGGGTTTAGAACCCAACAATGTTGGGACACATTGAGATGTCTCAGGTTGCCCTTATAACAAATCACATTGAGGTGTACCAGACCACTACAAACTTGGACAATGGGCCACAGCACAGCAATCCTCTATTTCCAGTCTTTCAAAGATATGGGGCTTTATAATTGGAGGAGAAACAGCAAAAATAGGGGCACCACCCAACATGATTCCAGAAGGCCTAGCTGATAATGTTGGTTCAAAGTACTGCCAAAGAGGGCCAGATGGGTGAATTCGGGCAGTAAACAGTGAAAGTACAAAGATGATCACTGTGGCCAAAGGCTAACACAAAGTACCAGTGTACTATGATATCCCAAGTTCCCAACTGGTGATACCATTAGTACCACACTCTGTACAGTATCAAAACACACATTTAAACATGTGTTGTGAGGTAAGCTGACATACTTGTGTAGTTTTCCATCAACATCTTCATATCCACAATTATGACAAAGTAATAGTAAATCTAGCATCAAACTCACACCAGACCTGAATCACTGGCAACAAAACAGGTATACCATGTAGCTACTGCTTTCAGATGATGATTTTACTAGAAATTGATTAGTGTGCCAAATGCGTAAGTAACATAAATATACTCAATCTGGCACACATGTGCATAATGGGCAAATTTGGGGGGGGGGGGCAAATTTGAGGCAAAATTTTGATGTACTTTTTAATTAGCTTGGCTGAAAAATATTCTTGACCCATTTTTTAAAGCATTACAGGGTAACATGGATCCCTGAAATTTTGGCTCTCTACATGCAGAAATTGGCAGCAGCAGTGCTCTGACTTAAGACACTCAAATTCACTGTGCATATCCCTGACACAATTGTCACAATGCTGTGGATATTACTAGGCTGGGCTCCACCCTCTTCCTACCCCAGCTGGAATTTAGCCTGCTCCAAACCTTGAGAAGAAAGTGGGCCAAATCTGAGAAGAAACTTGTTTGTTGACATTTTTTGTAGGTTGCATCATTTTTGAATGCTTAGCCCCCTCATTTTGCAAAACAATGCTCTTGGTGACAGACATGTTTGGTACAAAAACTACTTGATGCAATCTTGTCAGATGCATAAACTGTGAAACTTGCTGACCTCCAAGTTTCATAAAATTAAAGCATAACATGCACACACCTTTTATTACCATCATATGGACTCATAAACAAAAAGCAATGCATGAAGCTTGACTGATGCGTGCTATGTAGCAATGAATTAGGAATCAAGTCGGATCAGTTTGTTTCCAGCCCACATGTTTACACGACCCATTTAGAAACGCATATGGTCGTATCCTTGTCGCGTAAGGCTAATAAGGTCAATACCACCATCCATCTCCACAACTTACTTTTCAGACTCCTGCATTCTACGATCAGACGAATCGTTCGTATCAAACGTAAACTACTCCGTCTCCTAGAATGAAACCACAGGGTACTGTTCAGACCCTCAAATCCCGAGACTTCCTTTCCGATCCACAAGCGCATGCAGTTGCAAGTTACAAATGAACCGCCCAAAATAGTTTGAAAGCTGTTGTATTGCCCTGAGTTTGAAACTTTAGCGTCGAAAATGTACTAGGACAAAAGGTAGCTTTTAGTGGCTCTTTGTTTTAGAGCATTTCAACCCAGTACAGATATGTGATGTTCAAGAAAGGATATTTAAGTAAAGTTGCATTGAAAAGTTGTATTTAAACCGTATTCTTTGTTCGGTTTCTCGTCTTCATCAAAACGCACGTTGAATCAAACGCTTAACTGAAATTTACTTAACTCGAAATTTACGTGAAGATAAGTGCATCGAACTTTGGGCGGATTAAAAACTCCACCACTGATAATTTTTGCTGTCTTAAAAAAATTATGTTATGAGAAATTGTAGCTTTTTCTAATTTTCAGCCCGAAAATAACACAAACTGACCTTTATCAACAAAGTCCAAGTACTGGAAGTTGCTTCTAATATTCGTAACATCTCTATATTGGTGTCGTTTGTTGATAGAGCTGGGGAAAGGGACTCAGTGGGGGACACTGAACATGTGTGGAGGAGCGGTGGGCGGGGGTGGTGTTTTGTGACATATGCCCGGTTTATACTAACCTCCATTGTTTTTAACTTGATAACTAAGTGGTGCGCATGACACTTAGATCGGTGACTTTAAAAGTGTATCCCAAGGACTGAAGACTGTGTGCTTTAGCTTCAATCTCAAGAAGAGCTGTGGAAGTAGAGGTATGTTGAAACGCACCAAATTGTGTGTTAATGGTGTCGGTGTGGTACGCAACGTTTCGTTGTATTGACAACAATGTTGGAGATATCAGAAGTCCTGGGACTCTGGACGTCAACTGATGCATCATGACCCTTCCCCAAAATTGTACCACAAAAATGGGATAAGTAGGATAGGGATTCTGTAAGGTCATGGAATGCGATGTCTTCAAATATGTGACCTAATGACCTTACAAGATGCTGCATCTGAAAGGTAGATAACCTAAGCTGCTGAAGCTGCTCAGGAGCCAAATTTCAAAAAGTGAACTTCACCTTGGACATGTTCTCTGCCGGACATGTCCTTTAATGTATTGGCATACCGCATCTGGTGTTGGAGCATAGTACCACATTATGGTGAAAATTGTTTTGTATTTATGCTATTATGCTGGGGAAATTGTCCAGAATTTTGTGCATGTTCACCATCAATTTTAGTGTATATGAGAACCAGTGTTTCATGGCATTTTGGTGCAGCTAAGGTAACTTCAGTCAGACATGCTTCAAACAACTTTGGAATGCAAACTTAATCAGATATCTTTCAGCTAAATTTGGCCTTGCCTGAGTTTGGTGCACATGAGAGAGGTGCAGTGCACCAATGCCCTGAAGGCTCTCACATGGTGGATATTTTGCAAGTGTGTGAGAAGGAGCTTGTTAAGTGTAATGGTAACACCTGGGCCCCATTTTTTTAAAGCTTGGGCTGAACTTCATTGTGCTGAATTCTTATTTGTTTTGGTGTATAATAATATTTTCAGGATAATTTTGTGCCAAGTTACCCTTACTTCATTATTTTAGCATTATTCCTTCTAACATTGCCTTTCTACATGCTGAAGTTGGTGGCAGAATGTGAAAACTCAAGACTGCACTTAGGTGCTTGTTATCAGAGCTTTGAGTGCTGAGATATATGAACTTAGTGCTCATTTTTATAAGGTACCTGGATCAAAATTGTCTGTGTGGATGGACTGGATTGGACTAATTCTGCCATGTTCATAGTTAGTCAAAAATACCAATCAGCCAGTATGCAGCTGATGCCAGGTTTTGATGGGAGCTTGCTTGGGCACTGGCACAGCCTCAAGCATCAGGCATTTAGGCCCTCAGAAGCAGCTTGTTAAGACCCCTGTCACAATTTGCAGACTGGCCAGTGTTAGTGTGGAGTAGCACTTTATATGCAAGCAAACTGTGCTTGAACATTACCTTGTTTTCATTATGTTGTGTTTTGTTAGCAGGGATTTGGAAATATTATATTTGGGATTGCTATGCATTGCAATACATGCCAAATGGTAAGTGGTAAATACATGCCATGGCCATTGACAGTTCCTGTCTGTTATGAAGCCCTGTTTGATACCTGTTGGCCAAAACTCTATTCTACATGGTTGTAGTTGGCTGCAAATGACAGGTCTTATTTTTTTTAAGATGTTTGATGTTGGTCTCAATGTCACACAAACCCATTGGGTATGCTTACTAGCATGCCTGTCAAGGGGCAATTTGGCATAAGTCGTATGTGACTGGCATGAGGCTGTTGAGAGTTAGCCCCATCGGACAACTTCAGCAGCTGTATCCTGCTTTGGTGCACTTACACAGTGACTGGGTGACCCATCTAGGTGCCATTGTCATACCTTGATGCCACACTATTGCTCATTGCCACCATATCTCGGTGCCATAATCCCATGTCATGAGTGTCATATTTATGCTACTTGTCATGGGTGGGTGCCATTGACATGGTGCCATCGCCCCATCTGGATGCCATTGTCATGCCTTGATTGCCATCCTGTATTACTGTATGATGTCTCATTGTCTGAGTGGTGCCGTGGGCTATCCGGGCGCTGCTGTGCTGTGTCCTATCGTGGCTGCACCACGTTGCGGCTCCCAGCGTCACTGTACTGCCGGTCATTGCTGTACTACTGCCGCTGTACCCCCCCTGCTGCTGTGTCACTGCCATGTCCTGATACCATTATGCCACTGTATTGTATCCTGGTACTGCCGTGCCACAGTCACATCCCTGTGCCACTGTGTCATGATCCTTGTGCCATTGTGCCACTGAACCCTCTCCTAATGCTGATGTGCCTCTGTGGTGTGTCCCGGTGCCGCTGTACTGCTGTGTCCTGGTTTCACACGTGGGGTCTCTGCGAAGTTGTGGTGGTTTACCATTATGTTGTATCCGTGTCTGTCGTGGCTCGGTGGCATCGTACCCATGTGTTGTGTCTCAATGCCACTGTACCGGTTTCCCGGTGTATACCGGCGTCGTGTGTCCATTCTCTTTGGCGCTGTAGTGAGTTTCTTCTATGTCGTATCCCATGTCGTATTCCGATGCCGCTGTAGCGCGTTTCTGTGGCGTTGTATCGATATGTTGTATCTCGATGCCGCTGTGCGATCGTCTTGTCCCGTTGCCGCTGTATCATAATCCCGGTGCGGCTTGTGGTTTGTCCCTTCCGGTGCCGCTATATCGCTGTGTTGTAATCACGGTACCGTTATGTCGTGCTGCTGTATCGCGTCCCGGTGCTGCTGTGCTGCATGTGTCGTAATCATTGTGCTGTTACGTTGTTTTCCTGTGCCGCTGTGTCATGTTCCGGTGCCTCATCGCCGCCATGTCGTAATCGAAGTGCCGCTACGTCGTAATTCTTGTGCCTCTGTGTCGTAATTCCAGTGGCGCTGTGTCGTACTCCCAGTGCTGCGGTGTCGTGTCCCAGTGCCGATGTGGCGCTGTCTTGCGTCCCGGTGCCGCCGTGCCGCTGTGTCGTGTCCGGGTGCCGCCGTGCCCCGTCGTGGCGGCGCCGCCGCGCCGGCGTCGTCGAGCCGTGCGCCGTCGTCACCGGGCGCCGCCGCGTGCTGCAGGAGCGTCGGCGGCGCGACCCCCGGGCCGGCGCCGCGGCCGCCAGTCGCCGGCGGCCGCTACCTGTGACCGGAGCCCGCCGCCGCCGCCGCCGTCGTCGTCGCCAGCAGCCATGGCCGGCTACCGGCCCGCCGTGCACGTGGTCCAGCTGAAGCCGGTGGTCGTGCCGCAGTGCATGCAGGAGGGCCAGAAGTTCATCAAGTGGGATGAGGTGAGCGCACCAGCACACCGCTGCGGGAGTGATCAGTACTGTTCGGTCTGGGGGCAAGTGTTCATATCAGCTGCGGCTGGGAGGCGTACCCCACGAAAAGGCTGCCGCGCTTCGCTGTGCAAAGGAGCCAGTTTTTATGTGAGGATGGGGGCCCTTGGTAAGCCAATGGACTGCCGATCAAATGAAAACTTTCCGCACATGCGTCAAAATGTGCTGTGGGGCATTGCTGAGGATGAAAAATGCAGCCAACACCACATAGAAAACAGTAATTTACTCGGTCGGAGACGCCTATAATGTCATGACTTGTTCCGTCTCAGCCAAGTAATGCTGAAAGGCCTTTGCCGGCATTATAATCCACTATGAAAATCCTTAAGTTGATGGCGTACTTTGTACATGCCGTTTGGTCATGCGTCGGTATTAAATGTGCGAAGGTGGCCATGTTGAATACACATAACATCAGCCATCAAGACAACTGATTCAAGAGGACACAAACTGACGTTGGAGTACCTTGAGCACATGGAACTTAGTCCAAACAACCAAAGTACTTGTACACAGCACGCGCTTTTATTCTCCATTTGTCCAACCCAACAAGACCAGGAGCGCTGGTCTGCCAGTGCTGATTTGTCCTGATTATTCGTGAAGTCCTAATATGCGTATTGACCCTGTTGCTGCAATAGCGGCCACCCTGTCTCTGAAATGGGTTTGTCTTGCAACTCCGTTTTTGGCCTGTATTATGCTAACAGACTCAGGTGATGTAGACACTTAAAAACGTGCTACCGTACAACCCGGGAAATCTACTAGCAAGATCACCCCCGCTCTGTTGGCGTCAGTTTGTTGTGCTGCTGGCTGGGGAGACCTGGGTTAGTTGTTGGGACTTCCGAAACACGAAGTGCCTGTGACGGAATCAAGAGCACAGAAAGAATAGGTAAGAAGTCCGAGTTCGTTGACACTCCAAAATCACTCGGTACATGCGTCCGCGGTCTTCACCGACGCTTCAGGCTTCTGCGCTTTTCTATGCCGCAGTTTTTCTTCCATGGCTTTTGGGGATCTTTCTGTATATAGCGTTGCCCGCTGCTCCACTCTTCAAACATGTGTTGATGTGGAAAGGCTATACTGCCCTCGCTTACCCTTCCCCATCCTCATGCGGCGTGGTCTCGTGCATTTTAGAACGAACACGTCATGCTTAGAACTGCCGAACCGCTTTACGGTAAAGGCGCTCCGTTCTCGACACCGCGTGAGTGGTGGGCAGGAACGCAAACACCCCGGCGCCGCAGCAACACCCCAATTTTCTCAGCACAGCGGCAAGATAATTCGTCTTTACCGCTCTCGCAAGCGAAATTAATGCGCGCCAGTTACAAAATATGCAGTAAATTTCGGCAAGCTCCAAGCAATTTCGGCTGCTAAGCAATAGCAAAAATGTGGAACATTTTTGCAGATGAAGTGCTCCGAGTTCAAGACCTTGATATTCCAGGTTGTGTTATAAAACTCCACGGTTGCGGATTCACAGCTGTCATTGTCAGAGCCGACTAGGGCCACAAGGTTCAAGATTGCCACCGCGTGAGAGCACCACATCGTCGCTGCACGCAGGGCGGTAGGGAAATCCGTATTGCCAGGACTAATGGTTTGGGTGTTGCGTTATTCATCCATTACGCTGCCGCTACTGTGAGAGAATATGCACCGTCTGGAGTCGAAACGTCGCGTAAGTCTACACTTTGACCCCGCTTGTGCTCGGTGATGGCGACCGGTGCCCCTAAAGACTGACAAGCACTGGAGGCCGGGAGCAATCACGAGCGTAAGCTTAACTGGGTTCGTATGTACGTACCAATGTCCAGGAGTTGTTCAAGAATCTGCGCTGTGACATTGCACTCTTCATTCATTTCTGAATGCTCAGTGACGTGAGCAATATAGTCAAAACAAGTATTTAGTCAGCCCAATGTGGCTAAATTTAGCCCACATGAAGAAGCCACAGAGAAACATCGCGTTACCCCGATCGGAAGCGTGGAGAGCTCATCAACTATGAACGCACGCGGGCTGCGATATTTAAGTGTGGTGCTGTTCTGGGAGATCTCGGTCTCTGTCTTTTTTTGGGAGAGGAGAGAGGAAGAGTGGTCACGGATGTCATGTTAACGGGTGCGATGTGGGCTGGCGCAGGCGCAAAATGTGAATGTGCAACAACGATGGCAACAAGGGAGACTTCGGTTTGCTTCAAAGCTGGTCAGCTCTTGCGAGTTTCTTGGTCAAGGTTTCATTCATTAAATGATTAACACTGGCCACACGTTTGCCTATGGCAACGCATCAAATGCATCTCACGGTATACGCTTAAGCGGGCGAACATTAAAATGGAGGGTGTATTAACTTACGTTGTACGTTCTGGCATCCTGTCGCGTTTTCCTGAAGAATGCACACCACGTCTGCGTTATCACATCATCGGTGAAACCATATCTCACCGAGCCAAATTGACTGAAAGCGTACCGAATTTGTCTTTATGCCTTACAAAGTTAGGCAACTACTCCGAAATAGCCTGCAGTTATGCCGAAAACACGTTCGTTATTCTTTACTGCCGAGCCTGAACGTGCTTCTGTCGAAATGGACTGGCACTACGCCGCATCATGACTGTTTTACTCCACTTCGTTGATCTAGATTCAAAATAAGCACATTAGTTTTAAGTCGATGTGTTGACGGCTGTAAGGAGTGGGTAAAGATGTATGTGGAGCGAGAACTCAAGAAAGGCCGTCTTTTTACCCAGTCCAGCGATATGGGTTCTGGATGGCGTTGCTGGGGCATCCGTGTCTTTACCCATCTTTGTCCAATCTTTGCCCATCTGCACCCATTCTCCTCGCTTCTGCGTCGCTGACTTGGACGTGTGTCGAGTTCTTTTTTTGTTCCGCCCCTCTCTGTCTAATTGCTGTGTACGTTTTTTTTCAAACGCTAGGCGGAACTTTCTGTGAGGACTCTGCTCATACACTCTTCCTCACATTAAAGCGGGTAGCGACGAGAACAGGATTGGCGGAGGAGGAACACTGGATTCGCTGACGCGTACGCCGATTGGAATGTCGCAGATCTGCAATATCGCTCCCTCCTTTCACATTCTCAAATGACTGCCCCCTTCAGCACCGAACCGGAGCCATTGATCACGCGGCGTTGTATATTTTGCTGCAGCAAGAGCTTGGTTCGAATGTCTTCCTCACTCCAGAGTTTAGAAATGTTTGGGCAGCCAGGATAAACAAGCACTTCCGACCGAGCGGATCACGCCATTGAAGTGTCCAAACTCCGGAGAATTTCACGGCGATTTTCACTGCAATCGCTTTACAACATCGCATGGGTGCACGTTTTCCCTCATGACAGTCAGCGTGATTCACTTCGTTCGGATGCAATCGATAACTTTCGGCGGGATTCGCCTATAAATGGCACGAGTGGAGAACTCTGAACAAACCGATCCTGTCTTCGCCTAAGTGAGCCAGGCAGTTTTGCTTTATTGACATGCATTTTCAGCGGTTTTCATCAAAGCCATGTGTTTCAGGCTGAAATGAATTTAATCGCTGAGTTTTGCTACAAAAGCCTAATTTCCCGAGAGCTGTATTTCTAAACTAAATGCTGTATTTTCCGAGACCATTTCCAACCTGGCAGACGACTCCTCTTTGATCTTGCCTCCTCCTGGGTCCGAGCCTGCTCTGCGTGACCGCGGCCGGCCGGCCGGCGAGTGCGTCCGGCGCGCCGGCCCGGCCGCGTGTGGCCGCATCGCCGGCGCGTGCTGCGCGCCTGGCCCCTGTCAGCTGTCGGCCTGGCTCGCGTCGTCGGCCAACCGGCCCCGCCCGGCCCGGCCTGCGTCGCCGCCTGACGCGCGCGGCCCTGTGTCACCCCATCTGGCCGCTCGTCTGGCGCCCGTGACGTCCCGTCTCCGGGCGGATGGTGCTGCTCTAAGGGCCGATGTATCACGGATGAAACCAGGTGTTCTGCGCTCTGCCAGGCGCAGAAAGTGCGCGGCCGCCCCGTCGCTGCGCGGCGTCACAGACATCTGACACGGCCTGCCGTTGAGGTGGGCCACATCACGACCACTTCACGTGCTGTCGCTGCAGCTGCAGCCGGACCGGAGGTATGACGGATGCTTCCAGCGCATGGGCGGCTTGTGGCAGCTGCTGTGTTTGCTGCAAAGGGATGTCCTGCCGACCCGTTCGCCGGCCGCTGTCACCGGACGCGCGCGGGACTGGTGTCCGGGCGGCACCACCGCCGCGAATGCGCTATGAGTCACACTGTATGGCGGCCGCCCCGCGGAGGACAGCGGCCGTCACCCGCCCGCGAGCCGAGCTGATGTGCTCCACTGCTTGCTGCTCCGAGGCCTCCCGGTCGAGAGCCTGCCAGCTCCGAGTCTGCGGCGCGCCTCCACGGCCCGCGGACGGAGCGGAGCCGTCCGCCGGGCGCGCCGCGGCACGTGGTGGCGCACCGCCGCGTCCGGCTCGGCTGCCGGGAAGTCCTGCCCGGTTCCGGAGGCCAGTCACGCTCAGCGAGCGCGGAGGGGGATTTCCAGCCAGTCGGCGGCGGCGGCTATGGGGCGTCCCTATCGGGCGCGCCCGTTGGGAAGCCGGGCAGATGTGCATCCCAGCCGGATGGCGGCGGCCTTCCCGCTGTTCGTCCGCCGCAGCTCCCTCCTAATCAGACCGGGCGTGTTTCGCCGCCGTCCGGTGCGGCGCTGTGACGTCGCCTTCCTGGGACTGAGCTCCGCTCGGCTGGCCGGGCCACTCAACTGAGTGTCGCGCCGGTGTCTTTTTATAGAATGCCGACAATGACGCGGCGCCAACCGTTCGCCGAATGTGTCGCCGCTGTCGCCAGCGCACATGCCATGCGAATGGGCGCGCACGTGTGGCGGGGGGCGCGGGCAGCGCGGGTGCGGCGGGTGGCAGGGTGTGTCCCCTGAGGTCGGCGGACGGGGGCTGCGTGCCAGCGGCGTCGGCACAGCCGCCTGGCGTGTTGGCAGCGGCCCGGGTACCTGCCAGACGCCACGC